GAAGAAAATAATGCTAAAAGGCAAAATGTAGAAGTGATGTATTTAATTACTGTACTGTAGTGTCACAGTGTATGGGCAACATTATTATATAAGCAGTTACACTTACTGACCTGCTGTATATGCTTGTTTGTGTTTAACGAAATTTTTTAACTGTAACAAAAGAATTTCCCACATCTGGGATAAATAACGTACATCTTATCTTATAATATATTCACCTTGGAAACGTTTATTCCTTTGAACTGGTTGAATTTTTGACATGTCTGAGCTTAATGCACCGACCTGGCCTCAGATTAACGTACTTATCAATAAGCTTAGAGTGAAAGTCCCAGAAAAAGGCAACAAAGAAACAGAGCTGGGGATGACAAGCACAGCTTAAAAACACAGAGACTAACTCAGTGAACACACAGAGTATCTGACAGAGGCTACAATGGAGACAGGACTGTTTACTCAAAGAGGGAGTGAATGAAATGAGACACAGGAGCACACAATCAAGACAATGATGCAGGGGAGTGAGTGAAACTCAAAACAAGACACAAGAGACAACTAACTAACAAAGTAAAAATAACAACAGCACCCAACTAAACACAGAGATATGAAAGCTCACACTAAAGAATAAAAACACAACACAGGGGGAGGCTGGAATAATGAGCTGAAAACAAAATACACGGACAAACACAACCCTCCACTAGGAAAACAGTTAAGTAAACATAGAACTATAGACTCTGGAATAGCAGGAAAAATCAGAACATAAACTCCAAAATATAAAATAAAGGTTTTATTTAATTTTATTTAATTTTTTTAAATCTTATTTAAAAAAAAAAGTGAAAGTTTATTTACTGAAACACTGCTTATGATAAAAAAAAAACCCTGCTCCACAGTGACATGATAAACCATCAAGCAAAAATAAACGTTGTCTTCTTGACATCTATGATTAATGATAAATGCCTAAAATTAATCACTGCTGGCTCCCTATGTGCACTTTTCTCTGTCCTGATTAGACATTGTCTCTCCGATTGCCTCTAATTGGAGCACTGATGGCAGAAATATTGATCTAACCAACTGGAGGGAATGACTGACTGGGATACTGACCAATCAAAGAAGTGAAGAGCTCAGGGGCGGAGCTCCCAGCTGCCATGAAGGTTGCCCCGGCAACATCCTGACTGAGCTGAAGGTTCTAGTGGATGGAGAGGGGAGATTAAACAGGCTTAAGGATGAGGATGGTCACATTTGGTATTCTTCTGTCACAGGATTGATCCTAATAAATACGGTGTGTTTATCCAGAGCCTGCCGTAGCCAAAGACCTCTACTGCTGTCCAAAAACTACTAGAAAAACATCAACTAAGGTTACATTTGTCCAATGAACATGAACACTAGTTTATAATTTAATACCACAAGGCTTAAACAGAGAGTTCTGATAGACTAACACACTATTGTTTCATGTCTTTAGAGATGAATTACAGCCAATAAAGAAAATACACTCGCTTCTTACCCTTTAAAGGTTTTTTTTTTTACTTAATACCTAGAGTAGAATGGGAAACTATCAAGTATCACTTTACTTTCAGCCATTATAGATTTGTGCATCGTACCTCTGACACTTTTTCCAGTGATGGCACAAAGTAAACATCACAGACAATGGCCAGTGCGTGAAACATGTAGATAGCCTGAGAAATACAGCAAACGCATTACTGAAGATTTGGTTTAAGATGAAAATAAGAGAAAATACAGCGTTTTATTATGTCAAACGCAGGCTTTCAGACAGATGTGATACTCACACAGAGAACATGAAGGAGGACTGCACCCTGTCTCCTTTGATCCACAGTAAAGACGTCTTCAGGAAACTCACTGATAGCTTGGGAAAAGATGGATAGAGTGTAATCTAATGACGTGTGGAATTAGGAAACAGTGTTGGACAACAAAAACCAGTTACCAAGTATTCTAATACATTACATTTTAAACACGACTCCCTAAAACCTGCACTTTTATCTTCTGATATCTGAAGATTATTTTCTGTCACGTCTCAAAATTAACTCACAGTGACTTTAACACACTTTCTTTAAAGGAGGATTTGTTCCCTTGGAGGTAGGTGGTTAAATGAAGGCTGTGATTAGAATTATAACTCAGCTCCACCCTGAACCTGCAGGCATTTATCCTTGCATGCGTCAGATCTAGAATTGGCGTATCTCAGTTTGTTGAATGTATCCTGTATCTTGTCTAGACACAGCTTGAGTTTAAAGTCACACAACCAGGAGTCCAATTGCATTACAGCTGTATTTTCCATGCTCCTCTTATGACTTCACACTATCCCTCACGCCATCCAAAAACAAGTGTTTTATTGACTTTCTTTGTCAGTTCTTCTAAAAGCAATTCCAATTATATTGAAGTTCAGAGGCATCTAATTTGGCTGAGCGTCACCATGCGTCACAGTCTTTCTCCTCCCAGCAGAAAGCGATTGCTTTGCTTGGCTGCACTGTCTTGCACATAAGCTCATAAATACCACAGCTCACTGCAACATTTAAAAAGCTTTTTTTCATGATACAGACGCAACAATAATCTGAAAAGCAGCCTCCCAAGTGACTTCCCCTCAAGGTTTTCTGATTTAACTGTACGTCAGATTTTTTAAACCGCTTTTAAAAGTGAAAGAGATATCAATGTGCAGTTAGAGGCAAACACAAATCACACCTAAGAGGCAGAAATGGCGTGATGTTGGTTTAATTCAGATCATGATCAAACTGTATATTTTTAGCATCAGAAACCACATGATGCTCTTAAAAATAGAAATATGATAGTTTGAACAAAGCTTTTAAGTTGATCTGCACTATATTTCCGTGAGGCAGGAACTTCATTCTGACTGAATACAGCTCAGTGTGTTCTGTAAAAATCTCAAGCAGCCACACAGATCCAAGCATGCATAAGCAATGGTAGAGCGGCTGATGAGAGGTTACTAATCAGCGGGTCAATACCACAAGCGGGCACTTTGAACAGCTCCAGATTCACACTACATCAAACCACAAACTCAGTTTCCTAGCAACCATCAAAGACCTAACTGTTTTTAAAACATATATATGTACTAAATTTAAAGAAATGAAAGGTGGACCAGAGGAGTAAAGGAATGCACAAGAGGAAATAGTTCTTGATTTAAGGAGATAAACGAAGATTGCACACTTTGACTGCCATAAACACACAAGGGCTCAGAAGGTCACGGTGACTGTACACTCAGTGCCATGGTTATCCAAACCTGAGCTCATTCTAGCTCAACACACTGATGCAATTAGACTTTTAAAGTTTTGTAAAGATAATGTTCCTGTTGGCGCATCATGCACGCCTATAAACAGAGTGTATGTGAAAGACACAAACACGTGGTAAAGCACCTCACCAGATCTAGAAGCACCCCCAGTCTGGTTGTCTTCTTTTTGCTGGATGAGCTCCCTCTTGAATAAGGAGCTGCTGTGATCCACAGTTGGTCTATGGTAGTCTAAAAAGAGTAATTCACATATGAATACAGTTAAGCTATTTGAGGATATAAATTCAACATAACCTTTTATGTAACTTTAATGTGTTTCTTTACTAGTATCCCGCTAAAATAATCTGTACAACGTGACATTTGCCTTAATACTGCAATTTGATTTGTTATAGCAAATAATGAAAGTATAGGAGTGGTTAAGACAACTTTAAATCAGAGTCTTTATACGCACCTGTAACATCACAGAAGTGAAAGATCCAGGCGGCTGCGAACAGACCGACTCCACAGACGCAAAAACGCCGGAGGAGGCGCGTCTGCCTCGGTCTTCTCGGAGCCTTCATCCCGCCTGCTGCCGCCGCTCGTCGGCTCTCCGCTCAGAACATGCCGCTGCCCCTCTTCCTCGGACTCCTGCTCTCAGACCGAATACAACTGGCCTGTTGATCTCTTATTCTGATTTATTGTCTATCTTTCTTTGCTCCATCCAATAAGCAAGCGGATGTTAAACAGGTTCGGCCTGTCCACAGCATCTCCGGGAGTCAGTCAGCACTAACCGTGCAGCATCCACACGCTTCACATACATCCAGCGGATACTTGCACACAATGAATCATCAGCCAGCGCCTATTTGATAATATCCCGTCTTTCCTCCTGACCTAAATCTGATCTGCTGTTTATGATTTTCCCGTCGGGGAGGAGGCTTTTTTTCCTGGACCTACAGACTAGAGCGCCTTCAGCTGGGTGGGGCGACGCGAGTGAAATACTGATAACACGAAGCAATGATTCAAGTGTCACGTGAAGCGCGCGGCACCGGGATTCTGTGGGGTGCATGAGAATATTTTCCAAAAGTATATATATTTTTTTCATCGATTAAAAAAAGAAAATTCAAAAGGTTAAAGGGAGTAAAGCCTCTGTGTGAAGTAAGGTCCAAAAATAAGATAAGATCAGAAAGATGTTGAATAAAGACATATGCGCAATGCAACTTAACATAGATGATAAGACAATGAAATGAGATAAAAACAAAAAAAGTGAAAGTAAAAAAGATGCAAACTGCAAAGAGAGCCATAACATCCATAGTTTATTCGTTTTTGGGAATCAGAATTCTGAGATTAAAGAATTCTGACTTTAATCTCAGAATTCTCAGAAAAACGTCAGAATGGAGAATTCTGAAATTAATGTAAGAATTCTTTTTTTATCTGAATTCTGAGACTAAAGAATTCTGACTAATCTCAAAATTCTGAGATTAAAGTCAGAATTCAGATTTTTTTCCCCGTCTGAATTCTGACTTTAATTTGAGAAAAAAAGTCAGAATTCTGCCCTTTTTCTCGGAATTCTGGAAAAAAAAAAAGACGTGCCCACTTCCCCCCCCCCCCAGTGGCCCTAATCCTCTTCTGTAGCTAAGACACTTGCTTTTGCAAATTTGATTTTTTGATCAGCACAGCCTCTACATGCTGTTGGTTTAGAATCTAGACGTTTCTGTATGTCATAACAGTGCAATAGACAATCAGTAAGCTCATGCAAGACCCTGAGGCTGAAGCAGCTTAATGCATCATGAGAAGTTTTATTTGTTTGTTTTCTGAACTCATGTTTACAAAAGAAATACTAAAATACAAGAGTAGACCAGAGGGAGAGTTAAGCTCAAATGGGAGGCAAGGCCCCATATTGTACACTCCAATAGGGCTGTAACATCAGGTGGGCGCTAGTCCACAAAGTGGTGATGGAAGAGAAGTCAGATGTTCCTGCAAAGCATCCTGAAGCCACAAAGGCTATAATCATGAGAATGAAGATGCACAGCATAAAGAAACCCACTCTCCAGATGGCTTTCTCCAAGGTACCTGGGCATCTTTACACGATTGAGAAGCAAGAGGGAGAATAATGAGCGAGAAAATGAAATACGATGCCTCCATCACGTACAAAATCTTATCTGAGTACCTTTTAGACTGAAGCTTAACTGTGGGAAGATGAGGTTTCAGCAGCTCCTCAGTCTTAGCTTCCTCCTGCAGACAGTGTAGCAGGCATCATTAATGTAGCATTTCTAACTCAGTTTCTCTAGTTTGTATTTATTTTATTGAACTTCATACAGACATCTACATTTCCATGATTTGTGGAGTCTGTCATGCCCGTATTCATTTCAGCTGTTGTGGCCAGCAGTTTAATTTCCTCTGCAAAGGACAGAGGGCGGTTGAGCATTCGTTCCTTCTCTCTCATCAGGTCACTAAAAACAGAGTGACGCAGTACATTATGAGCTCTCCCACTATACTGTATAATCTTTTAAAGCAAGAGGATCTGTGAGTGAGGATTACAATGTGGCCTCATCTTGTCTGTCCTCCAACTGCTTACTCTGCTCCTGCGTTGTCTGCCTGAGGTCCTGTAGCACAGACACGGGGCCAGACAGTAAAACACCTTAAAAGTTTATAAGTCAGAATTGGGCAAATGTTACAAGGGCATACATGCCAACCTTCCCGATTTTTCCTGTAGAATCCCGAATGTCAGTGCCCCTCCCAAAAATCTCCCGGAGCCACCATTCTCCCGAATTTCTCCCGATTTTCCACCCGGACAACAAAATTGAAAAACCATATATCGCAGAATTTGTGAGCATCGCCTATGGACTGATTCCAAATGCAGTATCACATTTCAGGAATCTCTGACTCTCACACTGAAGATGAAGCAGACAATCCCTCCACCAAACAGACTTTAAGATGAGTTTTTTTTTAAATCAAACAGTAATTGTGACCCACAACTACTAACTGTGCGCTCGGCTTGCAGGCACACAGCATGTTTAAGATCTCCCCGCTGACTTTCAGTGATGTTTAAGTCATAAAACTGTGAGAGCTCCTCCAAAAGCGTCAGCTTACAACTCCAATCAATCACATAATACATCAAATAATAATCTCTGTAATATTCTGGATATTTATTATTGAGCTATTTGTATGTATTAGAGCTATTTCTTATATTAAGCAATTTAGTTCAGTCTGTTACTGTTCTTACTGTATTGAAAGCAACTGTAACCACATAACTTCATTTAATAAGGTATTCTGTGATGAAAGCTGATGTCTGCTTTGCATCAATACTCAACAGTTCACAGTCTTCTTATAGACCTGCTTTTTCTTTCTTCCAAACATATACTTGATGATTCTGGCTAGACTTTCTATCTCTCTGCATCTCTGACTTATCCAGATGTTTTAGTGAAGTTACTGCATGTAAGGATTCCTTTGGAGGACTCTTCCATGCAGGCTGTGTTTGCACATCTGAACTGCACAGTGAAATAGTGCACCAACTCTCCTCTGTCAGTTAAAATTTCCAGCAGCTCTTTTGAATTCATGACGTTGATTTGTTTTTCCTTTCTTGCACAGCAGGGGTGCAGTTTTAGCTAAAAGTTTTCTAAGCCTTGCAGATATTGTCTTGACTTTCAGAGTTCCTTTTAACTGTCGTTTCTCAGTGACTTGTCAGACAATTGAAAGTTGGAGGTACTTTGATCTTTTTAAAAGCCTTCCCTTTGATGCCCTGACAGTCTTTTCAACTATGGCACTTTTTGACCTGTCAACAAGTCAATTAAGGCCCAAAGAGTACCTGGACTTTTACATACAACTGTGCATTTGCAGATCCCAACAGCTCCAATGCAAGCTCGCACATCATCACACAAAGGAAATGTCTCTCTTGTCAACAGTCTGCCAATCACTGACACAGTTTGAAATCCATGTGATAAAGAGTTGCATCACATGAATAAATTGCATAAATTATACTTTTTTTGGTTTAATATCAATGGATAAAACATTCTTACCTTTATATTGTTGAAGCACTCTTCCACAGTTTCACTTAATTGATTCAACTGCAAGTATATCTATAAAGAAATGGTAAAACAATAAACAACAGAGAACTGTGACAATCTTTACTGTTAATGTTTGTGAGAAAATCTAAAACTGTTGGTCAGTCACTGCTTTGTATTGACATCAATGCTGATCTTACACTTGCCAGATGAATAGCCTCATCCTTGTGCTCCAGGTTTGACTGGTCCTCTTCCCTTTTAAACTAAAAAAACATACAAAGTACAGAAGAAAAGAAGATTATCAAAATACTATATACTCATGTCATTCAGGTTTGTCAAGTGAAACCAATGTGGACGTTCTTTACATCTGCATTATTTTTTAAAGTCTTCCGGTTATATAGAAGACTGTGGAAAAACAGCACTCAGCTTCCTTGATCTATGATATGACACCCTTCTGGGATCTTTATGAGCTCATTAATATCAGATAATTCTGAAAAAAACATTCATTTTGTTTATTATGGACATTATTAGAGCCAAAAAAGAGGATTATGCACAGTATTCTTGTTTTTAAATAACTTGTCAATCACATAAGAATGGGCTGTCCTTGTTTTTGCAGTCAGATACACTCCTTGTTTGCCACATTCAGTTTCAAAACTATAATAAGGCAACGAAAAACACTCAGTTGGAGGCTTCATAACTTTACTAATGTGTGACATCGAGGTGGCTATAACCATGGTGGAATTGATAACGTTACCTTCAAGTCCTGAATTTCAGACTTGAGGTTGCTCAGTGAGAGCTTGTCCTGCTCTATTTCTTGCTGGAGGCTTTTGAGCTAAAAAAAATAAATTATATTTATATTTAGACACAGCTTTCCAAGTTTCTGCAAAACTTAAGATGTCAAAACTGAAACCCAAAAGCAAAATTCATCCAAGATAAATAAGCATGTATCACTGCACACTGAAGCTATAAAATATGAGTGTTTAAAGTTGTTACTGAATGTGAAAAGTAATGCATATCTACCTCTGCAGTTACTTTCTCATATTTTTTCTTCATCACAGTGGATTCCTTCTCCTACACAAAAACATGAAGGTTCATCTGAAGTGAACTCGCTGAGAGAAACCAGCAATCAGTGCAACATTACATCTACATTTTATGAAGCTTAAATATCACTGGGGGAAATAATGATTTGATCCACCGCTGGATTTGTAAGTTTGCTCACTGGCAAAGAAATCACAAGTCTCCAATTTTTATGGTTGTTTCTTTTTAATGGAGAGAGACAGACAATCAACTATTCAGAAAAAAACACATTACATAAAAGTAGTAAATTGATTTCTGTGCCATTGAATGAAATAATAAAACATGACTTAGCACTTGGTGGAGAAACTGTTGAAAATGTTTCTTGTAGTTACCACCAGGTTTGCACACATGTCAGGAGGGATTCTGGCCCACTGCTCTTCACATGAACTTTCTAAATCCTTTAGAGGTTTCTTGGCTGCTGCTTGGGAAATCAAAGCTTCAGCTTCCTTCACAGATTTTCTATGGGACTGATAGGCTACTCCTTAACATGCTTCATATTGTTGTTTTGGGTCGTTGGTTGAAAACCCATCCATGGAAGGGGGTTCTCTTCCATGACTTTAGGGACTTCTCGTATTGTTAGCAGAAAAAGCATAATGATTCCACCTCTGTACCTGACTATGGAGATAGTGCTCATTGGGTCATCATCTCTCTTCTTCCAAACGCGGCATGTCAAGTTCATGCCAAAGAGCTCGATTTTTCTTTGACCTGATCACATCACTTTCTCCCAAACCTTCTCTGAATCATTTAGCTGTTCCATGGCAAACTTAAGATGGGCCTGTACATGTGCTTGCTTGAGCAGGGGAACCTTGCGGGTGTCGGAATCAAAGAAATTGCTTCTGAGGATAGGACTGCTTTACTCATATAATAAGTCTGTTATTGATTGACTGTAATCTATGTACCAAATTGGCTCACATCTCTCCATTAAAATGAAACTACCATAAAAACTAGACACTGTTTATTTCACTGTAAGTGAGCAAACTTACAAATTCAGCTGGGGATTAGATAATTCCTCTGCTATATTTCAAACACTTCTTACGAACCAATTCACGGATCTTTTCTTCATTCCGTCTATGTGCCTCGAAGTCATCTTCCAGAGCTATGCAAGGCTCCGCTTCAGTCTGTTGCAAGTCTTGGAAAACTTTCTCCATGCTGGAGACACACAGCGACAGTTTTAAGCTTCTGACCACATTGCTAAAAAAAAAAAAAGAACCTAATAAATAAAATCACCATAAAAAAAAGCACAATTATCCAGTAATAACAACTGACTTATAATAGGTTTAAATAAAAAAACAAACAAAAAAAGGAGATCGAACAGCAAGATGCAAAGTATTTCACAGGCAACAATAAAACAACAAGATTAATCTGAAATTAGTAAAATATTAAAAACTCAACCTGATAAAGTACTGGATTGTTTCATTAAATTCCAAGCAAGAAGGCTACGTTCACACTGCAGCTCTTAATGCTCAATTACGATTTTTTGATCAAATCGGATTTTTTTTGTCTGGTTATTCACACTACAAATAAAATGTGACAGCAAACGCGCTCTAGTGTGAACCGTTCACGGCCCTCAAAGCGGCCCGCATGCGCAAAAGAAGACGTCACACACAACACGCTCTGTTGAGACCCAGACAAAACAGTATTGTTTGACTGATGGCCCTTAATATAAAGACTTGTTTCGGACTTTACGTTTCCCAATTTTGCTTTAAGCTATAAATTTATATTGTTATTTACATATGGCCTAATAATTATCCTTATTGCTGTTTTACAGGAGCGGTGCTTCAAAGGATAGTTGCAGATTTCTGTCAGAATCTGCAGATTATACAGTACAAACAAAATGTTCACGTTTCTCCAACGTTGTCTTCCCAACAGTTTCACTAACATCTACACTGGATGGCCAGGAAGCGTTCGCGATGTCTTCTCCGGCGCTGATAATTGGCGTCTGTCTTGTGTCAGTGACGTAAAAGACGGATTTAATGCGACATGACCATCAAACAGCAGTCGCTTTCTAAAACATCAAATATGTATCAGATTCAGTACCACATACGAAAGTGACCCAGATCAGATTTGAAAATATCCGATCTGTACTGTTCACACTGTCATACCATGATCGGATATGGGTTGCATAGGGTCAGAAAAGTCGGATTTGATGCGCTTTCGCCTGCAGTGTAAACGTAGCCTTAGAAACACTGCTGTTGTCCTCAGGGCCAAAGATAACAATCTTTCTCTTTCAGACTTTTCCCAAACAAACATAAACCACAATGTTTTACTGGAAGCCAAAATATGGAAACATGTGACACTTGCAACTGAATGCCACCGAATGGCAGGGAGACGAAACGGAAGTGACCCTTCCACAATCAACTCGTGACAGTAATCTGTCTTAACTTACGTTTCAACTTGTTTTCTGAGGGACTTATTCTCCGAACCCAGTGCTGCCATGTCATCATCTGCACCATCGAGCAATTTCCTCATGTCAGCATTTTGATCTCTCAGCAGACTCTGACTGTATTCCAGCTCTGCTATTTTCTCAAGCATCTCCTTTGGTGACCTGCACATGCACATCACAGAAAAAGGTCATATGCTGCACAGTAAGTCCAACCGGTTGTGTGTGTGTTCATTAAGCATCACTCACATGTTTTCCTCTATGACATCCATTGAGTTGGCGTATTCCTTACCCTGCTGTGATCAACATATGTTTTTGTCAAAATTCATATAAAATAGTGACAAAGCCACAATACATATTTTTGAAGTGAATGGTGTTGAAAGTAATTTAGATTTCAACTAGATTTCAAGTAGACTTTATTTACTCAAGCATAAATACATTTTTGGCAAGAAAGAACAAGCAAATGCACAGGTTTCTATTAGGTAAAGTAACAAAAATATATGTGGACAAGTTGTGCTTATGTGTGGTTTCCTCCCAAAAGACAATTTTGTGCCATGAAAAACCATGATCTACTTAATTTATCTAGGCCACTACAGTCATGTGAAAAAGAAAGTTTCAACTAAACCCACCTTAAGCAGTAATAAATACAAGTAATTGTTTCCAGTGTGACTTTATCAGTCTTTTACAATATTGGCTTTTGCCCAACACAGCATGTCACTGTGCATTATGTCTAAGTATCTTCACTTTGGTCTTGTCTTTTTCAAAGAAGTATCATTGTTTTTTCAGATGTACTAAAGCTAAGCCATGCTGACACTTTTACAGAAGAGGCTTTCTCTTGGTAACGACTCCAAAGAAGGCCTACCTGTTCATTATTTTCAGAACTATACTGTCATGAACTTTAACATTTAATATGCTAATCGAGGCTTGCAGAGATTGAGATGTAGCACTTGGGTTTTTGCAGTTTCACTAAGCACTGCACAATCTGAACTTGAATATGCTGGGATGTCCACTCCTGGGATGATAGAGGCATTGTGTTAACACACACCTGAATGCTTCAGCCCAGTAAAATGCCTGAACTCCTGCTTTTACAGAGGTGCTGGTACTTGCTTAAGGTAAGTTAATCATTTACATTTGGAGCACCTGGCTGCTACTTGCCCTATTACTTGCTATGGCTATAGTAAGGGTTTGTTAGTTAACTAACTAGTTAACTTAGTTTTTGCATCAAGTCCTTTTTTTAACATGACTGAACCAGAAATGCTTCATATGAGGCATATTTGTTTTGGCCTTGCAGACAAGACCAGGACATCGCACATTTAAGTAGAATGACATTTTGCTGTTAATGTAAATATAGATGGAGGTATGATTAAGGCCACATTAGCTTGAAAATGAATAAAAACAGACTCAGGCTTAGCTAACGGTTAACTTAAATGCGAATAATTAAAGCTAATAAGTTATGAGAACTTAACTGTCGTTTACAAAATGGTTAAGTTTTTAAAAAAAATACAGACACACATGCAAGCATTATTGTAACTTTACATAAATGTTTAAACATACTAAAATGGAGGGGGGGAAAGGCTAATGCAAGGTAAAAACGTGCAAGCTAATGGCCAGCTTTACAATTTTTTCAGTTAGCGTTAGTTAAATAAAATTCAACTTTGTGCAATAAAGACAATTTCTAACAGAGCTTATAAAAGTGTTTCAGTGGTGTTGTAGCTGTATAAAACTAACAAGCTAAAAACCTTACCAGCACATGAACACTTTGCTACTTGGATACCTGGTCACACTAGCTTAACTACCAAGGATCTAGCTTCCATACAAGCTGGTTACCATGGCAGCAATTAGTTGGGCAGGCTTCACAATGAAGGCACTTTTATCAAATCGCTTATTTCCATCTAGTTTATAACAAATTTATATAGCAGTATAACTGTAATACTCACTGATACTGCTTACAAGGGATCAGAAAAGTTGCTGCCATGTGGAAAAAATGTAAACTGTGCTGGTAGATATTGCTGCTTGCTTCAGTTGCAATTATTAGTTCAATATTAGACAAATATGACAATTTGTTTGTGTTGTGTTCAAGAAACCTGTCTTGGATGTTTTGAGCTTTGTGGTTAACCATCCATTAGAAGATGGGTAAACTTCTGTCACACAGGCATGGACATGGCCAGAGGCAGGCTGTGGGTGTTTAAATGCTTAGTTCGTCCCAAAGTGGTAATAGAATATCCCCTGTCACAGAACAAATGGAGTCTCAGCATGCCATACCAGTATTATTCCCATCTTATATTGTTTTATTTTGGTGAGCCTCAGTTTCCTGTCACCTGATGTAGTCGCCTGCTGGTGTAGCCCATCTTCTTCAAGGTTCAATGTGTTTTGAGTTCAGAGATGCTCTTCTGCATACCTTGGTTGTAACAAGTAATTATTTGAATTACTGTTGCCTTCCTTTCAGTTTATGCATTTCTCTGAACTCGGAATATTTTCAGTTATTTTCAGATGGCTGTGCAGGAAACTCCAAGGGGATCAGCAGTTTCTGAAACTCAGCTTTGTTGTTGGTGCCAGATGGATTGGCCTATGTTCAGTTACCTAGATCACCTTTCTTCCCCTTTTCCATCTCGACATACATAAGTACACTGCCATACTGTTGCTGCCAGTATGGCGAAGATTTCATCTTTTGGTGATTTTTATAACTGTTTTTATAATTGTTCCCTATTTGAACAGGATCTATTTGGAATTTTGGAATAAGAATTATTTTTATTAGTCAAATATGACAACAATTGCAGTTTAAAGTGATGCAAATTAGAAAAAGTTAAAAATTTTGAAACCCAAAATTTTATTATTTCAGCACAACAACTTTAACAAAAATAGAATAATATTAAAATTAAACATTTCTCAGTGGTATATCCCTTCAAGCAAACACCTTTAAAAGGCAAAACACCCAATAATCAACCAAACAAAATGATATCTTTTGGCATGGAACTAACAACAGTTGTAAAGAATAATAATATAAAATTTAGTGACCAGTACAAACAAACAAAAAAGGCTTGTAATTTTTCCAATACACTTAGGCCAGAAGAATTAAAATAAGAAAAATAAAAGCTGCCAAGGAGTAAAATACATGGAGGTAAAGGAAATTCATTTGGCATCAATTAAAACTGACATGTTCGCATTCTTCCATATTATTTTGAACTGAAGCACTTGACAGGATGAAGTACACTCAAGACAGGTAAACAGTTACAGGGATACCTCGTGAAAAAAGAAAGACTCTATAGTCATCAATTATAACAGTTTGAATGTGTTTATATGCAAAAACTGGTTAATTATAGGCAAAAACAGGATGCTCTAAAGATTTCTATACAGTATGTAACGTATAGGGTACAGAATGAGGACGCTGCTTAATGAAATATCAAACATGGAGGCAAAACTGTTCACAAATCATAAGCATGTACATTTTAAATACTGAATTCACTAAACGTAAACTGTCATAAATTGCACTTTTTTCCACACCATTTCAGTGTTTATTTTTATTCATTTCAAATTAATGTTGTGCTGAAGACATTAAGACTGCTCCTTTGTGTCTCCCACTGTTCCACCTGCCACAGCAGAATCCAATTAAAAAGGTCAGTTTAATAAACTCAGGAGCATCCTCAGAGCAACAGCAAAATAGAGGCAAATTATTGTGCATTTTACAGTCCAGTGGAGTAATCAGGAACTGCGTAAGCCACACTTGTGTAACGTTCGGATTTAGGCAGCCTCAGCGTAGGGAAAACCCAAGAAAGCAGCTATTATCAACACTCCCACGAGGCGTCACTGTCAGAGATTGTGAGTGCTTCTCAACAAGGATTAAAACTGAACGTTGTTCAGTCAAAATACATTCTTATTTCAGTGCTATTTTTAAACATGTATTATCAGTGCTCGCTTGCAAGATGAACACATTGAGTTTCTGTGTTCATTTTCTGAGGCCAGCCTTGCTGAGTGTACGGATTACCATTTAAGATCAATGTACCACCAAAAGAACACCCTTAATTTCTTTGTCTCAGCACAGAATCTACAGAGTAGACACTGGCAGTGAGTTACACCCTCCAATACATTACACAGCCACAGACAATTCTACTTTCTTCCCACTCCAAGCTACCTCTTCTTGAACTAAGATGAGTTCCCCTGCTGCTCCCGATAACATTAACCACCACCATTAAAGTAAAGACACTCGGTCCGCTCCGATCAGCACCTGTTACCGCGAGGGCTCCAGCGATCCTGTGACCTGGAAGTTTATGCCGTCTCCTGGCAGTGGCGAGGGGATAAGAGGACAGAGCCAGCAGATGTACCAACGCAGGCCCAGTGTGTGATGCAGGTTGCCAAAGAGTCCCAGGCTGTAGGGTCGGCGGGAGGAATACCACTCCCTGGTGGTCTGACCACGAAACAGCAGGTAGAGATGGAAGAAGAAGAAGGAAGACACCAGCAGGAAACCCACCACGCATGTGTCTGCGATGAATGCGAAGGCAAAGGCACGCGCTGAGACCTGGCCTGGGGTGACGAGGAACAGCAGCACACATTAAATCACAGCAAGTGATTACAAATCCAGGCAAACTGAGGTCTGTGATTCATCTCATCACCAATCAACCAGAGGCAAGAGGACAGTATCAGTTTTACTTAACCCGTAGAGTTTCTAAAATACAAACTAAAATATGTATTTCTGAATAATTCTAAATATTTTTTCATAGATCTTAATAGTCAGAGATGTAAAAATAATGGAGATGAACTAACTGTATATTTGGATCTGATATTGACATTTAGCTGATTTTTTTTTTGTGGTTACTAAGATTTGTGATCAGTAATGATACCAGTCAACAGTGGGAATATCAGCCAATACCAAGCGAAATCAGACAGCAATAACGATAATTTTTCTTTAAGCAGAGATGACAGTATCCTCTTTCCTTCAGTTTTAATACATTATGTTCATTTAGCAACATCTATAAGTTCAAACAGAGTGCCAAACAGTTAGTATCACAGTAATAATGTGCATGAGACGCTCCAGCTGTGACAAACCAGATCGTACCTGAAACAAGCATGATCCAGGGTATGAGCAGCAGCAGGATGCTGTGTACTGTCACACCCTCCTTCAAGATGACAATGAAGACCTCTGCGTTCATCAGGGTGGCGTACAGGAGCCCCGACCACATGAAAAACAAGCAGCTCAGGAAGTAGCGGTAATTGCGGAAACCCACGCACTGGCCAAAAAAGACGCAGTGGTGATCCCGCCGCAGCACGCACACCTTGCAGTCGTAGCAGTGGGAACAGCGCGGAGGAGTGTGCGTCTCACATGTGTAACAGTACCTTTGAATAAAAGACAGACTTTTTTTTAATGTATGGTTATTAGTAAATCTATTTTATTGTGAGCATCAAAAATAAAGATTGTGTTGAGCCACACGTTAATAATTCAAATGAACACCTGCTTTGGAATAAAGTGTGAAGCAAACTTTAGATCTGGCAAAAAGCAAAAATCTCACTTCTTTGCTGCCGTTAAATTAATTATTTATGGTTCCCGATCTCGCATTTTTCAGATTTTAGAAAACCTACAATCTGTTTCAGTTGTCAGCAGAGGTTATATTTCTTATTAACATGCAGTACATGTTATGCAATGCTAAATTTTGTTACGCAATCACCCCCACCCCTTTTATCACATTGCACAGTTGTAAGCAAAGATTTACTGCAAATTTAATCTGATCACTTCACTCAAACATAAACATCTCATCTCACATCTAAGTCACAAATAATCTGTTAGGATTCAGTGTTTTTCCTAGCTTGTCTCTCTTTAAAGCCTAAAACAATATGTCAAGGAATTCTTGCCTTTGCCTTGCTTATACCTTATGTTGGGCAGGATAGGGAAGCATACAGGAAGTAGTTTTTCTGATTCGATGCTTTATGAAGGTTACAAAATACAAATTAGTTGCCCAGAACATTATTTAAATCAAGATTCTTATCAAATCATGACGACAACAACAACAAACCCGAAGCGCACAAAGCAGGTAGCTGTAGATAGGTGGCAATATTAAACATACAATGTGCTGTGCATCAAATGTTCATTTCTACAGCTGTTTAATCCTCACCTCCACCCTTGGCCGAGGACTTCTCCTCCCAGGAACACTCCCTTGATGCTGGGACTAGTTTTCATGAAGAGCAGGGCGTTCCAGCAGATGTTCCCCAACATGAAATACTGGGCCAGCAAGTGGATTAATTTCCACCGAGAGGACCACTGAGTCTTCTTCTGGTCTGGCTCCAGCGGAGCCTCCACCGACACCAGGTAACTCACCTCTCCGGTTATGGAGAAAACCAGGAACGTGTTAAGGACCACAGGGAGGTAGTGACACATCTTCTCCACCCTGCAAAACACCTTACTAGCTATACTCGTCATGTTTTATTTGAAATTGCACCTAAAAGTGAATACGGAAAGCGGAAGGAATGCTTTAGCCGACGCACAGCGGTAAGCGTTGGCTAGTTTAACTAGCCTAAAACAATCTAAATTAGCCTCTCGCGTGAGATGAAGTCAAACACATGAAATAAAAAATGCCTTACGTGTCTTCCGGAAAGTTACAGTAGCGTAAGAAAATAAATGGTACCGTTTTAATCTTTAAAAACCTCACTGACAAGCACGATCTCTGATTGTGGACGGAATCTCGTCTGCTAGTAGGTGTTACATGAAAATATATCCGCAATGCAACAATATACTTTGGTTCCACCTCTAACTTGCCATGGGTAAAACATGACTAAATCACTCGCCTTTAGCCCTTTATTTGTATATAACTGTGTGTATCGTTTTTTTTTACGTCCCAAAAACGTATTTCTGTGTGTCAGCAGGCACCATTTTGGTGTAAATTTGCTTCAACCACAACCCTGTTTTGAAGAAAGAGAGAAAACAAAGCAGCTTCTCCTCTTGTTAATCTGTTCAGTTTTGTAGCAGGTATACTTTTTGCGACAGAACTGCAAAAATATTTTTTATTACTTCTGGTTTGAAGGTGAATCAAATTTTCTCCAAGTCAGAGAAGCTCACCTTCGGCCCTAAGTATTACATGAAATTTTTCAATATAGAAATGATAGACTAATTTCTAATCCTGTACATCCTGGTCGCTCCTAATGAAAATCTGAGCAGTTTCAACTGTGTCTCACTCTCACTGTCATCTTGTACATCATACCCTTCACTCTTGCTGCTATCCTTCTGTCCCAGATCACCCCTGGCACTCATCTCTGCCCACTTTGCCTGTACAGTCTTCTTCACCTCTTACGCAGTTTCCGTTGGTTTTGATGGTTGACCCCAGGTATTTAAATTTATCAGCCTTCACACCTCCACCTCTTGCAGCTTCAGTGTTACACATAGATTATTATAGATGGCATTCCACTGATGCCTGCTACATGCCCTCAAAATACCAGATATTAGGTATAAAAATCATTTTGATTATGTTATACTAAGGGCTCACACATTTGCATAAATACAAGTTCCAATAACTTGGTTACCTACTTACCAATAAAGTTGACCTCGCTGCTGTTTAACCTCATTAGCATGTCGATATGTTGATTGGACAGCATGTCTTTGGTCCCTCCCCTGTTGAAACACAGCCTTTAATCCCTGGTAATCTCCTCATCTACTGAGAGCCCACAGTCATGGCTGCACCAAAGGAAAATTTGCTGTCTCTTGGGCGTCTGAACTGCTCAGAAAAAAACACTTTCACCAAAGAAAGACAAATCTGTGGAAATAAGAGGTTAGACCACCTAAATGGTACCACATTTGCAGAGAATGGTGGATGATTTTGTCTTTAAAATCTTTTAAACTCTTAAAATGTGACATCATTATAGTGTGTATGCAGTTTTTATATGAAAAGTAATGTTCACAGTCAAGACTAGTTTTATTGGCAAGTCTAAGAAGCAGATGCTGCCATGTCTTCTGGAAAAATGGGCTGTATGTAGATGGAAAGTGTGTGTGTGTGTGTGGCTTAGATGACCATCCTGCTGCTTCATGACCTCTTTCTCTTACAGTGTTAACAAGCTGGTGTTGTTGCAAGATGACCCTTCAGCTCTTCACACTCAGGATCATCTGTAAGTTAGCGAGATGCTTTCTCAGTAAGTGTTTTTTAAACTCCAAGTTTTTATGTGTGTGTCCTATTCAAGAGTGATGCACCTGCAGCAACGCTGGCAGGAGCTGAAGGAAAGAGAGCACATAGCCCAGCAACAAAACAGGCAGCTGCTGCAGCAGTTTGAGAAGGCCCAGGACACACTGAAAGGGATGTTGGCCCGCAATGCTGCCATGAAAGTGATTCGGGTGTGTAGATGTGCAGAAAACAGACCCATTAAACACACTGGAAGAAATCTATTCTTTCCTCGTGAAGCTCTTAAAATAAACTATTGCTTTGACCCCTGCAGATGGAGTATGAGAGATACCTGGAGGAGAACTCCCCCCGCTGGAGGCAGCAACTTAAGGAGAAGAGACAGGCAGCTCAGAAGAAGATACAAGTAATGCACAGCATGGCGAGCTGATTATTCACAAAGTTAAAGTGTCTGGTCAAAATGTAGAGCTGGTTTGTATTTGCTGCCTTACTTGCAGTTGTGTTTACATACACTCTCGTTGGCATGAATGTAATTCTGGGCTTTTAATTATTATTTTTTTCCAAGGTAGAATGATTGTACAGCATACATCTTTAATAATGACGCTAAATAATTGGGTGTACAAGTTAGAATTTAATTTAGATCTTTTCTAATCCACACAGGGTCAAAATTATACGTACACACGTTTTAATTTTAATGATGCTGAAGCTTCTACAAAGTCTTTTAACACAATTGACCACATTTGGTAGCTTCTCTTTGCCTGCATGAAAAAGGACTCACTAGACTCAATGAACAATGGGAAAGTCCAAGGAACTTTGGGAAGATCTAAGAGGGAGAGCTGTAGATTTACTTTTTGGGAAGGTCTATTGGAACCATTTCTAAATAACTGTAGATTCCAGGATAATCAGTTTAATTAGTTATGTTTAACTCAATTTATTCAGATTTATTCACTTTGCTGAGATATTCAGGAACAATCCAGGAACCACAAAGGCTCAAGCCTTCCATGAACTGGAAAACTGCCGGTACACCAGCATCACTGTCCACAGTTAAGCTAATTTTACATTCCCATAGACTGAGAGGGTGCCGACCAAGAAAGAAGCCACTGCTACTAAATCAACAACTTCAAGCCCGACTAAAATTTGCAGCTCCCTACACAGAAAAGTCAAACACCAAGGTTTTATAGTCAGACAAGACAAAGATCGATTTATGTCGGCAATGACAACAGGTGTGTTTGGAGGAGTAAAGATGAGGCTTTCAAACTGAAGAAAACTGTTGTAAAGCATGGTGGAGGTAGCATTATGGAATGGATAAGGCCAGCTAACATTAAGCTTCTGGAATGGCCTTCCCAAAGCTGGACCTCAACCCTATTGAAAATGCATGGATGCTTGAAAGTTGAGTCAATGCCAGGAACCAACCAATTGAAATGAACTCTACCAATTCAGCAAAGAGGAGGGGTCAAATATCCAACCATAATTATGCCAAAAGCTTGTTGATTGCTGGTTCATCTAACCATGTATTAGTGGGGGCGTGCAAATTTGTGCACCCAATTCTTGTTTTTTTAAAGTCATTAAATATGTATGCTTTACAATCATTCCACCCAACGGTTCAAAGAAATCATGAAACAATCAAAATGACAGTGACGTTCATGCCCATCATAAGTGTATGTATATTTCTGATCACAGCTGTATTTCATAGCACTTTCAATGTTTCCACTTCCTCTCACCTCAAAATGACAAATGCAAGGAGATTAAGAATATCCATGTTCCAAAATCCAAAGTCATTTTTCTTTATTTACAACTGATGCCATGTCTTCCTGACAGTGTATTAAAGAAACTGTTTCTTCAACAGAAAATGGACGACTATTTGAAGTCATGTTTAAAGAACACGGACGTGATGAAATCTTCTGCAGGTAAGTCTTTATGCTGTGGGGCTCACTTTAGGAAATGACTAGATCACATTTATGGTTTAGTGGTAATAATCTGGTCTCATGTGTTATCTTGAAGATTGAGGTGTTCAAATATTTTATTTAAAGTTAGTGTGACAAACACCAGTCGAACATGTATCCTTGTTTTCAGGTCCACCCACGGAGCCACAAAAAACTGCTACACCTCAAGGTTACTCTGACTACAACCAAGATGGCTCCTCCCATCTTCCCCACACGCAGTCCTCCTGGTTGAGCTGCAGTCAATCCCAGATAGCCAGATTTCCTACCAGAGTTCCACCCATCATTCCTCACCCATATCCGCTTTACTATCCCGCCTCCGCACCCGGACAGTACCATCATCCCTGGCACAGGCAGGATCTACAAGGCAGGGCTTCCCTACAGCCTGACTACCCCTGGTACCAGCCTGCTGGTGCAACTGGAACTCCATCATACTCCGAGGCCCTGTGGGGCCAGCTTTATATGGAGGAGCCTTTACGTGACTCAAGGGTTTCGCAGACTGTGGGAGAGGAGGATAAAATGAGCAGAGTGCTGAGCTCACAGAGGGAGAGGAGCATCAGAAGCAGCAGCAGTCGTTCGTCCCACGAGTTAGACGTTAAACCAGGTGAATACACAAAAATAAATACTTTTCTTACACGAGTCTTTGTGCGTATTCAGCATGTGTGTGGACTTGTTTTGTGTTCGTACATTCTGTATCTAGTCCGTCTGTCCAGCAGTCACAGTGAGAGCAGTGAGAGTGGCAAGGATTCCAGCAAAAAGGCGGGGAAGGAGAAGGGAGGAAGAAAACAGCATGTCTCTTCAGACAGAGAGAGATGCAGCCCTCAGGAGTAAGCAGCATTCTTGTAGATGTGACTTTGAATTCATTGGATCCCACTGATGTATCATCTCCCCTTAGTTTCTTCCCTTCATGCTGCACCAGTCTGCTAAATGTGTTCTGAATACCCTTCATCAATAGCCCCCTCAATTTATAGGCGCATTCCTGTCTCCTTTAAAAAAAAATGTAGTTGATTTATGTGTGTCCTAATCTTTCTGGTGCAATTACTTGCCTTTGATCACAGCACAGACAGAAGCTGCAGGAAAAGAGAGCACAGGAATGACAGTAAAGGTCAAACTGGCTGGACATGAAGCTGGGGATAGTATTTAAAGGCGTGTGGCAGTCACACTAACAACTTAGCACTAACCCACATTTTATAGAAAACATCACGTTCTTGTTACCTCCTAATTTTATATAAATTAACTTTTAAGTTTTAAAAAATATGTATTAGTTAAACGGCACATGCTGTAGAGGAGGTCACAAAAGATCAGAAACAAGTCTTCTCCTCTTGCTTTATTTCTTAATACTTATTGCTGTTTTAGACTGGCAAATTCATTCATCCATTCTTCCATCTTTTAGGTTTTCTAGGAATTCGAGTGCCATTCACATTCACTCAGTTAAAGTGGCCCAAAGTTCAGAAAGCAATGCCTCCTCAGAGAAAAGCCTGAGGAGCAGTAGGAGAAGGAGAAGTGGGGAGCTTTCTGTTCAATCACCAGAATCTCAGGAGGCAGAGGAAAGGACTGCGAGTAAGGGAGGTGACTCGGAGAGTCAGGACACTGGTGAGGAGTCAGGAAGTTTGAATGAGGCATACGAGGGTGAAAAAGCAGGGAATCAAAATCATGAAGAGAAAACAAACAGATGCAAAGAGTCAGGATCCCAGCGGGAGAAGGAATCAGAAAGTGGCAGTGCAAAGAATAAAAACGATGATGTCAGTGAAGTAGAAGAGCAGCACAGTAGCAGTGCTGAGCAAAGCAGCACAGTTAAAGATAAGACAGAGGAAAACCTGGAAGCTAAAGAAGACGGTGAAGAAAAAGAGAAGAGTCAAACAGATAAAGAACAAGATGACAGTGATACCAAACAAGGTGATGGTGCTTCTGCCAAGGACGCAACAGAGGAAGCAGAGACATCTACAGGTGATGAAATGGAGGAGCAGGGAGGTGAAGAACAGTCAATCAGGGTGAAGAACGAAGGCACTGAGAACAGAAAACAGGGTGCTGCCTCCTCTCAGGACGAAGAGGATGGAAGTGAAGGCAGTGAAGAAGAAGAGGATGAGGACTTGAATCAACAGGAGGATGACGAAAGCGAAGAGGAACACGGGAGTGAGGAAGATCAGATAGATTCAGACGACTGCATCGTCACACCACAAGAAAAGAGGTAAGACAGTGAAGAATTGAAATATTCCTCACAGACATCATCACAAAAAAAATCGAATGTAATCCTGTTTTTAGATCTACACAGATTATAACAGAGGAGGCAGCTCAGGAACAGGAAGAGGGTAAAACAGGATCTGATAATGACGACTCAAACGAAGTCAGTGATGAAGAGGATATTGAGAACCTTCTTGCGCCTCAAGACGAAACTCAGCAAAAGTAAGTACTCTTTTAACTGACTGACTTAAATTACAATGTGAAACTGCCTCTTACTTTTCTTTTATCTTGTAGAGAAAAGCATCTGAGAGGTGAAGAGAAGCCCAAAGGTACAGTATAACCAGTCTTTACAGTAACATTAGAAAGGCTGCAGGACTTCTGATTTATGCTCAATTTATTTTCCAGCGAGTTTTCACAACATGGGAATTTTTCAAGTGGAGCACGACAAGCCGAAGACGGAAGACCCAAATGACTCTGATGAGTTTGATCATTTTTATGACTAAATGTACTGCTGTGCAAGTTAAAAGAGACAAAACCACATTCAAAATAAAGTACTGCAGAGTATTATAATTAGTTTTATAATAATGCATTAAAAACAGAAACAACAGGCTATTTAATAACTGTTTTATTTCTTCTTGTTTTAATTAAAGGCATTTTGAATTTTACAATCTTAAACTGGAATACAGACTGTACTCAGGCTTCCCTGCAAACACAAAATTATTTTCATTTTGAGCTGCAAAAGCAACAGGATTTTTCAGCGTGTTACTTTTTCCTCCTGTTAGAGACACAGGAAGATAAAAAATCTGGACAACAATAAAACTTAAGTGGAAGAGACACAATGTTACAAAAGCTGTACAAAGGGCAACAATAATTTGTTGAAAAAGAAATTATTGCTGCTGTATTTGACTGATAATCCATCAGTTATGAGCACGGTACACTTCAACATGTTCAAGGTATAAAAATAAACCAATATACAAAATAATTTGAAATGGTTTTCCAGCAGCATGCCTGTAGCACAGCTGGTCGTGGTTACACCAGCTCATTTCTGGTGACAATTAGAAGTGAAAGTCTGCACTCTTGTTAGATTTTCACCACCTGAGCAGTCAAACATGGGCTCACCCTCTTCCCGTCTTCTGACTGAGGGCTGCGCTGGATGAGCAGCCGCCCGTACGTCCCGCCCACCTGGCCTTTGGTCAGCCGTCCAGGGTTGACACACACACAGCCGACCACGTCCTGAAGATGGGAGGAGATTTTAGATGACATAACACTCGTAAAAACTCATAAAAAAAATAGTCAAGTGTTTAAAAAAAACCAAAAACATGTTTTACTTTATATTATCAATGCAATAACTGATGATCCTGCAATCAATTACCTCAATAAATGTGTATATATAGGATGTCAAGGGGAAGACGAGTTGTTTACCTTTACAAAGTAGCGCATTTCAGAGGGAACAACAAGGATGTCGGGGGTGAGCGGCATTTGGCCGAAGCTCTGGAACTTCTCATAATCCATATTTACCTCGTCCGCAGGCGGATACAGTGGGTAGTAACTGGACATGAGAACATGGACACGATCACTAATAATACGTGACCTCAAATAAATAAATAGATCTGAACTCCTTCAGGATTTACCTCCGCTGTGTGAGCATGTGCTTCAGTATACGTGAGAATTTGTCTGAGCCGCTTCCACTGCAATGCAAAACATCAATTTCAACTATGTACACCGATGACCTTCATTGGAAAATATGATCATGTGAATAATTTAAGAAAACGGTCAGCCCTGTTCTTTATAAATCTGCATAAAAATGTAGGTCAGTAACTCACTTTGGTGTTTCTGATCTGCCACCTTGATGTCAGAATTTGGTGCAAATTAGAAAACAGCCTCACTCACCAGCTGATTTCCTCTGCACCCATGTGGATGAGGATGTCAGTTGATGTCAAGCCAATAGTCACCCCGTCAATCACAAGGGTGCAGGGGTCAGGGACCAGGGTGACACGCTGCAAAGCATGAAGACAAACATTATATAACCTGACACTTACGCATGACATCTCCGGGACTGAAAACCATATAAAAGACAAACAATGCTACACTATTAAAATAAGGTTTGCCACGAGTGCTCAGAAATCTGCTGCATGTGCTCATCAGCATGCAACAACAGTGTCTAACCTGGGTCTGTTCTTTGCTGGGGTGGGGCAGGCTGAACGGAGGCTGTGGGTAGATGAAATGGTGGTGGATGTCTCTCTGAGAAGGCACAAACACCAGCTGACAGCCAACACTGGATTATAGAAAACGAGAAAACACGAGGCTTCATTGTGGTAAAGAAAATCTGATTTGAACAGGAGGAAAGCACAGTTTAAAAATCAACCAAACGAACAAACAAACCTCGAATCGTTACAGTGTGACTGACCTCTGTCTTAACTTACTTGTATAATGTGATGACATAGTTTATGCAGACATATATGTAATTAACAAGAAAGACAAATTTCATGTGCAATTGCAAGCAGGTTAAGTCGCAGGGTTTCAGGCGGGGTTGCAGCTATAATGTCCTTAAGGCACAGATTTAAAACAAAAGCGAAAAAACCTGTAACTTTCAGAAAATTGCAGAAAAGCTCACACATGGATCCTGAATTTAACATCACAAAGGAAGTCACATGCATAGCTGTCTGACTCTGAGCTTTGATTAGACAACACATACCTTCTGGTCCCATCCACAATGCTTTCAATGCATCTGGTGAAAATGTTCTCAAAAGTGTCAGTCACCTGGGCTTTCTATTTAAGAAACACATGGAGATGACAAAGAAAGAAAAACAAACAAACAAACAAACATGTTGATTAAAATGAATTCACACTGCAAATTTGGATATAGAAGCTCAAATTAGATCCTTCTATGCAAAACGTGTACGAGTAGACGGTATTTTATGATGAAAAAAAACAAAAAACGTTCTGTGATTGCTATACTGCACCTGTCGGTTTCATTGATCTGTTATTGTGGTCAATCCAGTGGTACGCTTTTTATTTCCAGACCCAATAACACTGAAACTAATCGTCTTATTTGTGGGTTAAGTGTTATATCTTGAAGGATAACACAGAAGATTTATTCAGCAAGTGATACCTATTAGTTTTTGTCTACACACATATCCCTTTTAAAGCATTTTGACTTGTGCAAAAATGCACGCGAAAGGTTCCCCCTTGCGTTGTGCACACTCAAAAACAAGAAAAACACGGTCTCTGTCCCACTGACCTCAATCTGTTCATGTTTGGAATCCACAAATGGGCCCAGCTGTGGAAGAGAAACAAGAAATAGGAAAACCAGACAAAACACAGAGTCATGGGAGGACTGTCTCCCTCATAGATACACTCCTGACAGTGTGTATGTGAGCTTTAGTGGAAATTCTGTCATGGATAGTGTCTGTTTTATGATGGAACAACAAGGGAGACTGTACCAGCAGGCAGACATCAGGACGATCCCTGACAATAACATTGATTAAGTCCAGCAGGGGGTCAAAGGTCAGACTGTCAGAGGGAGCGTACGGTCCACAGGCCACCAGTACATTCAGTGGCTCTGCAACAAATGAAGAGTGTGGAGTGTAAGAAGATGGCTTTAAGTTCAAGCTAAATCTGAAAAATTGATCAGACAGATCTTACCCTCATCTGTCTCCATTTTCATGTCAGAACTGTAGAACGGCAGAGGAACAGCCTAAAAGCACAACAACGTTACAAGAGTTTTCACAAACAGGCGAAAAGTGTTAAAGCCAACAACTTAGAACCGACCTCGTAGAATTTGGAAGCCACCAGTTTTCTTCCTGTAGTGTTCATACCCTCCATCACCACCACCTAAAAAAAACAGAACAGGAGCATTTAGATAAATGTTTTCTTACATGTGGGTTTGTTGGAAAGAGCTGCAAAAACAAAGCTACATGCTTCTGCTGATAACAGGTTTCCTATAATTCTGAAAGTTTATTTTTATGAGGGGGAAAAACTGTCAGAGCTCTCGGTCAGACACCGGGTCAGTCTCAAGCCCATGTCCTTGGCATGCTCTGTTACTCTTGGTGGCCATATAACCTGCTGCACATAAGCTCAGTGCACAGGCAAAGGAGAAACCACCGACTGGTCATTAGGAAGGACCTCACTGGCATACCCATTTCTAGTTTCATCTGTCAAAGTAAGCGATTTCATTCAGCTCACCTGACCAGGAAAAAGGGAATACTCTTTAAGCTCCGATAGGTCAACAGGTACTTGCTGACCGCCTTGTTCTGGTCCAGCCTCTAGCAGAACTGACTGTGCATTCAGTTTGCCATTACTGTCACAGCAAATCTGTCCTAGCACAGTTATACTGTCCTGGAGGGAAGAAGACGCAAACCCAAGAAAGAAGTTAACTTTTAATCAAACAAATAAGCAGGTTTGATTTTACTCCTCAATATATATGATTTTAAGAGAAAACAATTCAGTGATGTAACGTAACATTTTATAGCAATGTACTATTATTTAATAATTTATTGTTTAAGCAGTGGGGATGAATCTTTAATTTAAAAGTTTTCCACAGGTGTCATCTCTTCTGTACCTGGGCAGGCAGAGAGACGGGGGAGAACTCCTCAATGCTGAAGTGAGTCCTGAGTCCTTCTCCTAGCTCCTCAATCTTCTCTGTCAACACTGGGAAAGACCCAGAAAAAAAATATTATCCAAATGTTCTGGGGTATATTTATTTAGTGATTTTACACCCAAACATACAGGAAATCTTTAATCAAGTGTGTGCAGCTATGTACCGTTTCGAACATCTCGCAGCCTCTGGAACATGTATTTGTAGCTGCTGTTAAGGGAATCTTCCGGTCCTTCCAATATCTCAACTTGGACGCCTGCACCTGGATCTTTCCTGCCCACCCAACGGGTGCCCTGCACAGCCCCAAACGTGGCCACCACCTCTCCCTTTCCTCCCCGCTGGCTGTACTTCTGTGAGGGTGTCGCACTTCCAAAGAGATAAGGGGAGAAGGTCACTTAAAGTGACAGTGATGCAAATACAAAGGTTTAGCTTTAAAAAAAAAAGCTTTCTTTTTAAACTTTAACACAACCAGAGAGCATAATCTTCACGTTTTCAAAAATAATCAGAGCAGCATGGGGTGGAGAGTACTTGGGAGAGAAGCTGGCTGGAGACAGCAGTATGCTCGGGCTGGCCATCAGAGCTGCAGTTCTCTTTGAATGAGGACGCTCTGGTGTCGTCAGAGGTCGTTTCTGAGAGCCCTGTACCGACAGGAACAAACACAGTTAGGATCTTGTCTGTCTACATAGACTCAAACTCACTCTGCGGGAGACCCACGAGTTACATCTAGCTTATCTTAGCTTTTAAAGGCAGATCAACAAAAAAAAACGTAAGCATAAATGGATAAAAAAAAATTTAAAAGTTACGAAACTTTATTTCTTTTTTCCAGATTAGATAACGCTCTGCTGCTGACAAGCAAGAAGTGTTTGGTTACCTTAGCAGGAGTAGAGTAAGAATCTAAGAGATCCTCCTCCTCTTCCTCAGCTTTTATTCTGATTCATTTTGTCAAAGTCTATGACTCAACAGCAACATTAGCAGACACAAATCAAAGAAAACACCTGACTCCAGGCAGTGCAGATGCACGGGTCTTTATGCTCAAGCATCAGTGTGAAGGATACAAATCATCAATCATGCTAATGTTTCTCATTCTACTGGCTGCTTCTTCCTTTCGGGAGGTTTTTCTGGATTTGATCCTCTTGTTCAAAACCTGTAAGATGACAAACATGCTGCATTTATAAGGAGCAGAGAATGACTAAGTTGTTGCATATTTAATAAGTAATTTGTAATGCATATTAAAATCTGTGGTCCTGTTACCTCATGTTCAAACTGCTCCAGAGTGTCCGTGGTGAGCTTCACGCCTTGTTTTGTGGCGCTATAGGCAACCCACGCATGCAGTATCTCTTGTGCCTGCAGTCTGTTACAAATACACTGCTCCACCACTGAAATGGAGGAGATATGAGGGAAAACAACCTAGGATTTAATCTGAGTGTCTGAGAAAATATTAGATGCAAGTACAATGTGAATTAATTTTGTGGGACACAACTTGCAGTGAATAATTACTGTTCCTGATCTTTAAAAATGGCTTAGTAATTATAAAAGACGTATCAATGAAATCAAAAAAAAAAAAAGCAGATTTCTAAATTACTTGACTTGTGAAAGTAAGTTATCAAGAAGAAAAATGCTATTTTAGTCAAAAGCTTTAACTAACAAAATCGCATGCACATGGGTATATAAATATTATGACTGATGACAACAGCTTAAACATGTCACAACACTACATTACTGCTATCCTGCGTACGGTAGAGTCCTCGATGATTACAGTGATAATGCACTTAGCTTCTTTGCTAACACACTCTCCCGTGTAAAGCTTCAATCCATATGAGAAAAACGGTCATCTTAGTTAGCAACTTACTTTTATCGAGGACGGAATCATCTTGATAGGGTATATCGAATATTTCCAGCTCAGTCTTTAAGCTCTCTGTAGTTACTAGCGACATGGTTTTATGATACACAGTTACTACGTTGTGGAAAACGTCAAAAGCGCCAATGTTGTGATAATAGCTGCTAACGTTAGCTTTACTCTTACTTCGCGACAATGCCGCCGACCCTAGTTTTGTTTTAACTACACGGCTTCTAAATACTACCTACAGGCGGTTCGCTGTTAGACAGCAGAAACTAAATAATAATGGTCAACCTGATGCCTGTTTCATTTTACCGCGAAAAAGCGCTGTTCGTGTTGGCGGCCGGAATGTACGTCACATTCGTAACAGTAATAAACGGAAGTTGGCGGTCCCACAAAAATAAAAGCTTGTCCTGGTAACTTAGATTTTTTTCAAACTTTTTCAGTGTCCCACTTCAGAAGCAGAAAAACGCAAACGCCCCACAGTTTAATCATCCAATAACAATTAAAAACAAAGGACGCAAGAATTCTATCTGAATAATGGTCAGACAAGTGGCAACAAACTATCTATTTATACTTATTTAATCATCTGGTTGTCTGCTCCATGGTTGTCTGGGAATCACTGGATAACATATGTGTGTTTAACTATTGGATAGCACTGGTCTGGGTAACACAATTCTCAGATCTTTTTACAGGTGTGCAGTGTGTGTTAATGATACTGCTCTGCTGCTGGCAGAAAGTCTCTGGAGTGGGCAGTTGTGTCCTTGCAGAAGATCAGCAGCAGCAGCCCGTCATTGATTGAAGATATATACATCAGCAGATGCAGGAACAGGGCTACCAGTATCAAAAACGACTCTTTAAACCCATGGACTTTTTACCCCCTCACCTTACAAAGTGCATCATCAGTGCAAAAACAACAACCTGTCACACTCATAAACACTGCTACACACTAACATTTTTTTGTCCATGCACACATACCCACACATTAGGAACTTGTTACGATACGCAATAACAGGTTACACAAAACAGACTAATTTTTGCAATAACACCTATTGTCTGTTTTTATATCTATTAAGACTCATTTGCACTCTAGAAACAAATGCGGTCTAAACAACTGCATACATCAGATAAGAATGCACAAAATTGCATCCTTACCGATTTATAGCCTTACCTTAATTATATGATCATTAATGTGTTGTTTTTTCAAATTTAGATAATATTTCAAATTGTATTACTTGTTGAGGTTGCTCATATGACTCTTCTTCTGCATAAAATGATCCCTATGAGTGCCACCTACTCCTATCAGAAATGATATCAGATAATGATAATATAGTGACCAAATTCTATAAAGAATACAAGTAAAATTCAAAACTATTAGAAATAAGACAGGAAATTAATTCAACAGATAATTTTTAATCTTGCATTTAGCACACAAAGTGGTAAAATAAACATTTGAACTCAAGTTAATTATTTTAATGCTGTTGTTTATTTCTAATAGGATGGATGCATGTTAGAGCTCTGAAACTTTACATTTTACAAATTTTAAATATTCAAATGTACTGGCGCATAGCCAAAAGATGTGAAAATCACTTTTGTTTGCCACCAGATCAAAGTGAAATTGATTGTATTGATTGCACAGTTCTTGGTGATGAATGCCAATGTTTCACGGAAGAGTATCTGAACTGGGGCTATTTCAGGGTTCAGTCTTGTCAGTTTAGGGAAATATCTCAACAACAGATACTCATCAAAGATCTCATGGGCATTCTTCTGGCTATCTGTGACGAATACAAAGGTATCACTGCCTCTGATTTTACGGCTTTTTTTCCAGGTTACCATGGTGATGTAGGTAAAAAGAGAGGCTCTTTCACCTCACATCCTAAATAGATATATGGTACAGACATTTTTCTATGGGTATAACCATTGATAAGAAAAAAACTGAGATCAATTTGGAATATTATTACAAAAATAAACCAGTGCAACCAAGCTATAACAACAACTGTACTTATAAATTATGGGTTAAACAGATGTTGCTTTTGGCAGCACAACTGGTGCACTTTAAATTTTTTAAACACATTCAAACCCTTCTTCTGCTGCCTCCGCAGCCTTTAACCATAACAGAACTCTTAAGATAAACACAGAGATTCTCAGATTTCTGCTGTGGTGGGCTCATCGTTTTCAGGATGTACTTCCATCTGTTAAAACAATGACATTGCATCAAATTGTGGTTCAGTGTAAGAGGTACAGTGGTAATGAGGAGCTGCTATAGGAACTGGGTGGTGCTGGCGGAAAGCAAGCGTCTCACTCACCTTAGTAGAAAAGCACTTTGCCTTGGGAACGAATTTCCACGATGTCACTCTCCACAGTGATTCACGGAGCGAGGCTGCCAACTCATGTGTGTCATGTACCTGACAAACACAAACCTAACATGTTGTCAACGCCTCTGAATACAGTATTCAGGTTCTGCTTCACACCATGAGACAAGCAGTTTTTCCACACCTTCATGCGGCTCAGACAGGCATTTCTGAAGTCCATGCTACTGCTGCTGCTCACGATACTCATGGACGAACCGAGAATCACCTCAGCAGCTGCATGCAGCTTCTCTTGTTGCTTAAGGATACACACAAACATACACAATTACTTTTTTTCTGGTGTCAATAACTGTTAGAAATGAATGTAAAACAACCATCAAAATCTACCCGAGTATAGGGTAATGCTTAATTGCATAACCAATTCAATCCATAGTTAGTGAAAAGAGAGAAAAGCTGTCAATGATCAAAACTGTTGCTGATTCATTTTCTGATAATGGACTGCAATAGTTATCATTACAGGACTAAAAATTCTTAAGTAAAAAAAGTAGGACACTTAGTGTGTTTGTGCATGTGCGTGTATGTCTTTGTCATGCCTTTTTTCTGTGATTTTGTGGTTTCAGTGTGTTCCTCAGCTCAGTCTGCACGGCTGCTACGAGGGCCTGCCTGTTGTTGTTCAGAATGTCCTCCAGGTGGAGATCTATCAACATCTCGGTGGCTGAATGATCAACAATTTGCATGTTTGGATTGGAAAACTGAAAGGCAGGCTGTCTACAGTGTAGGGTTTTGTGACTGTACATGCCGCTGCGGTTCCTCACCCATAAGATCAGTGAGCTGGGAGGTGAAGGGGTCACTATGCTGTAAGAAGAAGAAAAGCAGGAGACTCTGCTGCACTGTGGGAAGACTTGATTCCTGCTCTGGATCATCCCAGCTGTCTTTCTCTACTGTGTACACAGTACCGCCGCTATACACAAGATCTGCAGGGGATGTTGAAACATTTATGCCAAAGTAAAGAAAATAATAAGATGGATACAGTGGGAGTTACTTGAGATAAGATTTTTAAGAAGAAAACAGTGTTCGCATGAAGCCACACATGGGTTACAACCAGCATAACATGTATCTAGCATGCTGGCAATTAAAGACACACCTCTGGGTTGGGCAGATAATTGTAAGGGCATTTATTTATTTATTGCAGCCTTTTATGTCAGCATTAAAAAATAGCATGTCAAACGTGTTTCTTTTCATCCCAAATCAAACTTCTTAAATAAGATAAATGTTGATGGAAGATGGAAATAGTCAGAGACAGTGTGAAGCAGAATAGATTACGGGGCGTTTTCAGGTTTCATTGTGTAAATGTGAATGGATAGACTACTGCTGATTAATACAGACTGTCGGTTTTGTTTGTAGTTATGATTTATTGTATACACAGGGGGAGACACTTATTGTGAAAGAGCAGTTTCTGATAAAAGGGCCGCCTTTTGACTGTTATCACCACATGAGTGCGTTTAATCACACTGCTCCAGTCTGCCTTGTGTGCAAAACAGCGACTGTTAAGTCTTTTTAAAATGTAGCTTCCAGACTAATGTGTTTCTTTTTGATAGCTCTCTTTAGGGTAAGGTTTTAAATACCTGCTGCTACTGCTTAAAATAAAATCTAAATGACTAAATGGTTAATAAAGACTTAAATTAGGCTCATTTTACTGGACTGCTGTCTGGACACAAGAAGACAGTTTGGTCTTTTTTAGAGAAGAGCGTCCTGCTTGTTAGGTACTCATTGACAGGAGAAACCATATAATATTTATAAGACTATTACTCTGCGAGTCAAATGATCTTATCTGTTCAAATATGCCATATAGAACTAATTTGCAAAATACATTTTGGGAAACTATAATGCTGCTGTCTGTATGTCCATCAGTTTGGTCCAAATTTAAACCCGAAAAACTTGGATTGCTCTAAAAGCTTTTTGTAACTCTGATGGGACAAACTTTTCCTTGCATGGCACTGGCGATCTTGTGGATGTGTCTTGTCAACTGCTGAATATTTTGCAACAAAACAGGTCCTGATAGATTTGCAGCAACTCTGGTTGTCCTGTCTTTTTATCTGGCACTGCCATCAAGTCAAACATTCAGTCTGCACGTTGCACACAGTTCACATTCCACATGCTTTTTGCACTGTCACTGTGACAGTATCAATGAAACAAAAATGAAACACTGCTCATCCCAAAAGCTATTAGCATAAAAAATTATGTAAATCCTTCTGAAAAAAACAAAACAAACTTTTAAGTATATTACTTTAAGAAAAGCACAGTAATTCATGGGTAAGACAGACAGATAGGTCAAACCCTTTATCCACAACTGGAATCGCTGCTATGAGAATATTTTGCAGCGTGACCGAAGCACTAAATCTTGTATTGGAAATAAATGTCAAGTGCAAATTAGTTGCAGATGAACCTCATTCTCATGAGGCAGGTTTTTAGAGTGCAGGGACAACCACTGTGTTGTGACAGAAAGTAAATTCTAGAGTCAATTCTCTTTTAGTGCTTAATGCTTTTGTTTATGTTATATGTTCTGCGTCCATTGTTCTGTTTGGTTTTGCCTTTCCCATTCAAATGTTGGGCTTATGAGATCCATAAAAGTCTTAATTAGCAGCCTCAGGCTTGGGCTCATTCTCTCATAAACCCACGCAGGTGGTTGAAATTAGTTTTCTTCAACAAAGGTAACAGATCCAAGTTCTAATTGTTTCAATGTCTTAATGTCCTGTAAGGACAGGATTAACTGTTCCGGACTTTGGACCTACATCAGGTTCGTTTTACACTCTTTTTATTGGGAAATCAAACCTCTCAGCAAAAAGAATTAAAATACACCCTGAACATCAGAACATGCTGTTCCCAGCAGTGATTACCTTTGAAAGAAGAGCAGTAAAGTCTATATAGTCCCAGCTCTTGACAGTCCAGAACAGCAGGAAGTTTTTGAAAGAAGCCAGAGGGCCCAGTGACAGGAATGTTACTGGGGTTGTATACCAACACATGGAAACATGTCAAGGAAGACTAATCCAAATCAGATGCCCAAATACCCCTGAAATGAGTCAGGCCCTAGTCTGAATTTCCCCTTGTATTCAATTCCTTTGCCTACCATGACAGGAAATGAGACTGTGTGGTACAGATGTATGATAAAACATGAAAAGGATATTTGTATGTGAGTAAGTTCTGTTGCCACATTGGGGTATGGCAGCAGACAGGGGGTCAGGAGTGTAACCACCTGAACACTCAGATCCCCAAAGAGGCCCTGCTCCATGGTTTGTGGTGGGATGCTGAGTGGCAACCTGCCTCCTATAGCAGGGTGTCCTCTCACACACCAGCACCCTTTCTTCACACAGCACGGAGGCCTTTAAATTCAAGGGGAGAAGAGAAAATCAGACGGATCAATAGAAGGCACTTATTCCGGTCAAACCTTTAAAAGCGGCATTACTGACGGTACAGAACAGGTGACGTCCAGGGTCAGTAACAGTTGGTCCGCCAGTGCAACTCTTCTCTTGACCTTGACACTGCAAGAACGCAAGTTGACTATGTCAGCAGTTCATAAAACAGAGACGGATATTTCCATTCCTTTTTAATTTACAATCCAGACTCCACTCAAGAGGGTTTAGCACAGTCAGCCTTTTGTCTTGTTTTTATGTTTTTACTCCAAGACAAACCACTCGAGGCAGTTACAATGATCTACGGCAATACTCTTTTGCTTCAACTTTTTTATATTGCAGTTACTTTTTAAACTTACTCAAAAATAATTAGCTAAATTCTGTTTATGAAGTGAGATCCTTAATGAACCAAAAGCAAAGTCATTAATTGTGAGATGCTCTAACAAGAGGGAGGCTTTCAAAAACAGAAGCTATGATATACATCGATGCACTCGTACCTAAATTCCCGCAGCGAGGCCTCCTGGTTGATTTTGAGTTTGAGGTGGATTTGTATCTATGAAAAATAAGAAAAATGTAAACTTTTTTTGCTTGAAGCTTAACATGTAACTCGAGATGGGGAAACAGATCTGTTCATACCCCGGCATTAGCCAAAGTGAATGTGCGCAGGAATGCCTCTAGATGGGCTTGCCACTCTGAAGTGCAGTGTCTTGTGTCTTTTACCTGTACATTGCAAGTTATTTTAAAAAAAACATGAGACTCACACTACTTGTGTTACGACTGAAAAACAAGAAAAGTGCATTTCAGAATTCATCTGGGTTGTTTTTCTACCTGAAAAGATAGAAGCAATCTGAGGGAACCATACAGATCTGTGAAGGCACTCAGCTCCTCAGGGTCAGGCTCATTACATGGCCACACACAGGGACACATGCTCTCTTTCAAACGGACAAGGGCTGATGTAGCAAGAAAAGAGACGATGTAGTGCACAGAGGTTCCAGTTATGTGTATATGTCTATATTTGTGTGTACATACCAGGTTGGAGGGCTTCCATTTGAATCCCTGCACACCAGGGGCCAGCCGCTGCAACTGTGCAATTAACTGGATCAGTACAACAAAACATTAGCCTTTGTTCCAGGAGCTGCTGGGACAACTAGCTTCCTGTTAGTTATCTTTATGCTGCAGTAAATTTAGATGGAGGCACTAACAGTAATTGTTCAGTAATAAATTATTGGTAACCAATTAATCATCTATTGATAAAATGTTATTCACCATATCCTGAAGAATAAGTTAATTTATGTAGAGACTTAACATTTATGATATAATTTATAGCTTTAATTGATACAATAAAAATCCATTGAAGTTTTATTTTAAGTTACCGTATTTCCCGGACTACAAAGCGCACCTGAATATTAGCCGCACAAGCTAAAATCAGGGGAAATCCTGTTTTGTACATACATTAGCCGCACCTGACTAAAGGCCGCAGGTGTTTCAATGTTGACTTATCATATGTAAGAGAATATGCACAAAGGGAATTGTCAGGAAAGAGATGGCTGTTTGGAGACACACCCCTTTTATTAATATTTTGAAAAACAAGTTATGGGTACATATTTGCACAACTTTTTAGGTAGGTCAGCAGTGATCACTGACTGTTTTAGGAGCTTTTTGAGATCAAATAGAAGAAAATACATAACATTAAACATGTTCACAACACAAAAGCCATATTAAACGCAGACTACTTTAGACCCAGAAGTAGGATTCGTCGCGTCATCACTGAACAACCGGATAGGCAATAAGGATCCCAAAGCGTGCCAAGAAAATATCCCCCCACAAAAAATGAACCACCAGCAGCCTGAACTGATGATACAAGACCGGATGGATTCATGCTTTCATGCTGTTTACACTAAATTGTGACCATAACACCCAAGTATTGCAGGATAAACTGTGACTCATCAGACCAGGCATCTTTTCCAATCTTCTACTTCTAATTTTAGTAAGCCTGTGTGATTTGTAGCCTCAATTTCTTGTTCTTAGCTGGCACCCTGTGTGGTCTACTGTGGCTGTAGCCCATCTGCTTCAAGGTTGGGCAAGACAACTGCCACTCACCTCATATTTTCCTTTTTTTAGACCGTTTTCAGTAAACCATAGAGATGACTGTGTGGGAAAATACCAGCAGTTCAGCAGAAATACTCAGACCTGCCCCGCCGGCATCAACAATCATACCAACTCATTCTTTATCCTGAGGCTCATCTTGAACTTCAGCATAGTCATCGTGACCATGTTTACTTACCTAAATAAATTCAATTGCTGCTATTTGATTGCCATCAGACATTTGCATCAATAAGAAGTTGAATTAAGTGTCCCTGATAAAATGACCTGTAGATATTAAAATACTGCATTTTTCTAATACATGGTGTATAAATATAAAAAAAATAACCCCTTTTATCCAAGGACATTGTCATTTTAATATTTGATCAAACCCTACCTTAATCCTCATTTGTCTCCCTGTTATGCCTCTTTTATTTGGTGCAGTCTCAGCTGCTTTGACTCACCAGTGCAGTTCAGCTTTTGTGTAGCAACTTCGGTGTCAGTCCACAAAAGCAACAAAAGCCCTCCTCCTGTCCTTAAGCCCAGCTTTTGCCTTTGCTTTCCCATTAGCATGATCAAACGCAGCACCTGGAGAGGCCATTTGAAAAAACAAACTCCTAGCTTAGCATGCTAACGCTACTTGCTAGTTAGCGTTAGCTAGTAATTTGCTAATTTGCTAGTAATTTTCATCTTTATTAATCTCTAAACCTTTTTATCCATTTTCTTTTCTACCATGAATCAGGAATAGCTATAACTTAAACAATTACCTGTTGCATTTCTTTCAGCATTTTCAGTTGTTGTCTTTGTGCTAAATCAGCAACCTAACCTAATTTAATCTGGGGTCAGAACTTTGTTCCCGTAATTAGGCTGTTGACTCATACCAATCCAGGAAAGCATCTGTATGTAATTTGAAAATTATTTATTATTTATTAGTTGTTTAAAATATTTGACATCATCATCATATTCATTGTAATAATAATAATAATAATAATAATAAATAATAATAATAATAATAATAATAATAATAATAATAATAATAATAATAATATTTTTTACCCAGTTTTGAACATGGTTTTTATTGGTATGTATTGTATTGCTAACTGTTTTTTAACTTACTATTTAGTTTTAATGAATTTAATTTAGTTTAATTAATTTGTATCTAAGCATATAATAGGCAGTAGTTTAAAAAGTATGTTTTTGAACATTTACATTTGATCGTAAAAATGTCTATATATTTAGGCATATTAGATCATAAGAAAGTAATTTATTTATTTTTATTTTTCATAAAAAACTGTTCATATACAGTGACAAGTACTCGCCTCCTTTGTAATTTCTCCGTTTTTCCCCTACATTTGTTACACTTAACTGTTTCAGATCATCAATCAAATACTAGTAATAACAAAAGATAACCTGAGTAATACACCACACTGTTTAAATGATTATTTCATATATGATAAAAGCTATCCAAATCCATCTGGCTCTGTGCGGAAAAAGATAAGTGCAGTATAAATCTGTTCAGCGGTTGTTCTGTCCTTGGCAGCAAGAAAAATTAAGTAACTGGAAATGAGTCTTTCACATCACCAGGGAGGAGTTTTTGGCTACTCTTCTTTGCAGAATTATTTTACCCCAGTCAAATTGGAGGGTTTGTTTTATGTTCTTTTTTATGCAATCCTGCGTTTGTTAGTTTTAGGTCAGATGTAATGGGACTCAAACCCTTCAAAAAGTTAAATATTTGTCTTATCAGTCAACAGATTATTTTCCCCAATGTTTTGCAGTTCTTTAGATATTGTTCTGGGTTCTTTTGTGACCTCCTCCATGAGTCATCGATGCACTCTTCAAGTCATTTTGGTAGGCTGGGTTCACGAGCGTGGTTCACTAGAGTCTTAAAGCCTTAGACTGACTAATCGATGTGGGTGACCTTGTTTATCATCTGTGGCTGTGGCTAACCACAGTTATTTCATGATTTAACAAGGAGCTGACAATGACTTCTTCTTGGTTTGGATATTTTTTCCCATAATAATTGAAATCTTTTAAAAGCTGTATTGTGTATTTAGTTCTAGTTTTAGTGTTATCTTTGCCTGATGTTAAAATGTTTTTGCAGATCTGAAACATTTAAGTGTGACAAAGAGGGATAAAACTAAAAAATCTGTAAGGCGGCAAAAATCTTTCAAGGCGCTTTTCTCTGATAATGTTAGCAAAAGCTCTTAATTTTATGATGATAAATAATTATTAATGATGCAATAAAAGTCACTCTACCACTGGTATTTTGTACTGTACAGCTGTAATTTTGTGGTGTTTATCAGGCTCATTGCGTGCACCTCTGTTTGCAAAGACATCATTAAGCATGTATTTATCATATCTTTTGGGATCTTGCAATATTTTTCATCCTTAAAAATGAACAAACACAACACAATTCTTTCCAAGTAAATGTAATAATTTAATTTCTTTGTAATTATTCATAAATATAAAATTCAATATTGCACAGTGTGAAAAAAATCACCAGAAGATTAAAACATCTAAATTTCACAGTTGCTGATTGGATGAAGACATATGAAACTCTCCTTTAGCGTGAATCACTTTCCTTCTTTCTTAGACCACTCGCTGTATCCACCAGTATAATTGCATGCGCTGAAATAGAGAACAGAGATGAAAGATGTCAGAATATAAAAGCTGTTATTATTACATCATAAACATGCAGTAGAAAGCTGCACATTTTTAACAACAACAACAACAACAACAAAAACCAAAGATGGCTCTCTACAGTCTTAAGGACTTATTGCCTTTGTGTTAATGAAGAAGACTTGGAGGTTTTTTTTAATGGGCCTTGTCCATGTATATGTGTGTATTGTGTATTATAAGCAATAACTTATTTACGTCACATATCCCAGCTGTTGGACTTTGCCGATGGCCAGTCCTGATCGCCTGCCCGTCTGGCAGGAAAACACCAGCTCTGGTGCATCCAGCTGTGGCTTCTTTATGCCATACTTGGCCTTGAATTCCTCTGGATTCATTGCAAAAGCAGTCTCCACTGTATCAACTGAAGGAATCAAAGAAGAGACGAAGGTATAAAACATGAATATGCAAATGAAAACTTAGAGAAAACGTACAGAACTTGAAAAACAATCTCACGTGGGATATTGGTGCATCCTGGAATATGTCCTTTTGCTACCTCCTCTTCACTGCGGACATCAATCAGAATGAGATTTGGGCTCTTTCCCACAAGAGCCTTCAGTTCCTCATAGGAAATATCCTTGGTACCTTGAACATGGCAGAAAAAACGTTTCATCAAATTAAGTAAAACTACACCACTTTCTTTTTTAGATACAGGTTTTAAGTGACAAATCATCCTGACACAAGAATGCATTATTGATGATCCTTGCCAAAGGAAACTAATTACTGTTCATGTGAAAGGTTAGATGAAATATGACACCTGCTTTACCTGTACAAAGGTACATGCAAACACACTGATAAGGAAGGATGTACTAATGCTAACCGCACTGATATCAGTGGCTACATGTCATTTGGCATGTGTAATGTAGTGATTCAGAGAGTATCTTTGCTTCATTGTTAGTGCCGCAACAATCTAGCAATAATATTCAAATACATGTACATGACCCAGCCACTTTGTTAGGTACACCTGCTCAGCTGTTCATCATCTCAAAAATTTAATTAACCTGTCACACGGCATACAAGGCTCACCAAAAATTAAACAATAGAAGAGTCATTTCAGCATGGTCCAAATTCTCTAAAGCTTATTTATAGCAGCTACTGGAATCAATACCAAGAAGAACTGAGAAAGTTCTGAAGCTAAAGGGGGGTCTTGCTATCAAGGTGTACTTATTAAAGTGGCTGATGTAAATCGTCCTAGTTATTTAAACACAGTAAGATAAACAGAGTGTTGAGTTCAGCTATTAAAATAATTAGTTTCTCAATTTGGCTTTTAGTTTAAGTAGAAGATGGCTTGAAAAAGAACCTGACATTTAGCTCCCCTTTCATGCTATATTCCTTACAAGATAATTTCACTCGCATGTTGACTTGTTCTTATCATATAGTGTGATGAATATGAGCCAGTAAAATAGGAGTAAAGGTACACTGTCCTGACTGCCTGTGAAAATATGCAGATAATTATCAGCGGTTATTAAACCTGATTGTTTTTTCTTACTCGAATAACCGAGTAAGAAAAAACAATCAAGTCCTTAGGGAGACTTAAAAGCTTCCAGTTTGAGCTATTTATTGTTTGCTGAGTCATTCTTATCCTACAAAGTGAGGTTTCTTCATGTAAATATTTAGTAGTAAGAGAAATAAATGTGGGAAAATGAAACAGTTCAACAAAAGGACCCCAAAACAAGTTTAAGTTTACAAAAATATATAATTCAGATTTTTATGAAAGTACTCTATTACTTCTTCTTAAGCTACTGTAGTTTCGAATTGTTATTTTACAAATTGCTTACCCATTAAATTAGACGTGCTTCAATTCAGACAGCAATAAATATTTTATAGTTTGTTAACCTGGTTAACAAAGTTGCAGAGTGGGCTTAAAGACTCACCTGTGTTCGCCATCCTCTTTGTTGGGTGAAGTTGAAAATATGAATGGCATTAGCAATTATATATAATGGAATAATAATGCACCTTCAGCATGCATTTGTTTGGTGGCACCTCATTGGCTCACCTACTGATAAAAGGTGGATCTTAGCCCTCGAGACTTCACTGCTTAGCCAATCAAATCAAAGTCTTACTCATTTGTTTCCCAAGTAAAAGCTAGAGGAGGTGTTTAGTGACTGTGCAAAAGCCTGTTTTACAGTGTATAGTTAGTGGCTTAAATATTTTTTACAAATGTTTTGTGCAAGTAAAATTATGAGTGTGACATGCCTAAATGATCAAAAGTAAACCAGTCTCAGCTCTTATAGTGCAGACACAATCGCATTATTAGAATGAAGTGAACCCAACCTTTAAGTGGAAACTAAAAAAAAAGAGGTTAACATATAGAGTTCTCATTTAAATGATTTTATTTTTTAAAAAGCACTCAGCAGTGTCTATCTAAAAAAAATAACATTTACTTTACATTCTGTCTTTGATAGATTAAAAAAATATCACAGATCTACAGAGGTTAATTTGCCAGCAAATAAAACTGTGGTGGCTGCAAAAGAGCATAATAAATGATTTGTTAACATTATTCCTCAACTTTACAGTCATATTCACTCATATTTACACATTCCTTGAAGAAGGAGTTTAAATAATGTTTAAATTCTGCAGTCACTGATTACACCACTACAGAACTGCATTTGTCCAGATCACAGTGTTCCACGTGTACTTTAGTAAGTCCATCAGTAGAGTCTCTCTTTCCCTTTCGAAACTTCTTATACTTCCCACAGATCAGAGCTGCTATTACAACCAGTAAAAGGAGAGTGACTCCTCCTCCTATGATCCAGGCCATCAGTGTGTGGTCAGAAGATTCAAGAAATTCATACCGCTTACATGAAAACTCTGAAGGATCGCTGCTTCCTGCGTTGTTCACTGCCAACACACACACTTTAGTTCCCACTTCCAAAGATCTGACCAAACCCCGCCGTGACGCATCCCCAAACTTTGGGACTTCACTGTCCCTTCCCTCAACGACTATTCTGTACTCAGATACCACTGAAGATGGAGCACACCACTGCACCTGTATTTTCCCTCTGTCACTCCCCTCACTGACTGGAACCAGCGCTCGGATACGTGGTGAGTGAGGACGCACATTAGCTCCACTCATCCCAGGGCAGAGGCACCCAGTTTGCTCTGAAAGTGTAACACAGGGAACCTGGTTCTCCGAGCAGGGGTCGTACTCGCAGAGCTGGTTTTTCTGGTGTATCTTTGGGACGTTCACCACCCTAGTAGGAGCTTTGGTGGTGTCGTATTCAATAAGGTCATAATCATCCTGGCCTTCTGAGCCCATGTCAGGCACGTGTATGATCTGTGAATGGGTGATGGGTGGGGAAGCAGACGCAGCATTGGTGAAGAAATGGGAATGCATGGGAGGCAAGACAAAAAAGAGAAGTGCCACCAGGTTCCTGCAAAGTGAGGTCATCTCTGTGAAAAGAAATGACAAGAATAAATATGGTCACTGGTCACTTTACAACCATAAATAGACTGATTGATGCAACCTAACCACAGCTTGTCCATTAACCTGTAATTTCCTTTAGTTATGATGAAGTAAATTACACAAGAAACGCACTGAAGCAACAGTCACTGTAGCAAAAAAAAGGAACTAGTTACCAGTGATGGGAATAACGGCGTTACAAGTAACGGCATTGCATTTTGAGTGGCACAAATCATTTGTGTGGCATCTTATTTAGTGCAGAACACCTGATTGTTATGTAAATAGTTTGAAATGGTTATTTAAAAAAAAAAAAAAAACAAGGTAAAAGGTAAATGCAAATAACTGGTGTTTGCAAACCTTGTGCATAGGATTTTAAAACTGACAATTTATATTTGCATTTAAAGTTATGAAATATGATTCAATAAACATGTTTGTGGTTGTTACAGTAAAAAATATAACTTTTTCTACTCGATTGTATGTTTTTTTGTCTGACTTTAGATCAATTGTGTTAAAACAGTTTATCAAAATAAAAAAAATCCTGCAAATTCAGACACGTGAGGTTGTGCTGAAAAGAATGATACCAAGCAAGGCAAAGTAAATAGTTTTTAAAGGGGAAAAAAAATGGCTAATTATACCCTGGACCCCAGAGGGTTAAACTTTTTAAGTAATGCAATAGTTACTTTTCCTAGTAATTGATTACTTTTAGAATCTTGCAACTCAGTTACTAACTCAGTTACTTTTTTGAAGAAGTAACTAGCAACTATAATGAATTACTTTTTCAAAGTAACTTAACCCAACACTGCTAGTTACTGAATTTGGTTGAAATTTCCAATTAATAGTTCTGCAGTGGTGAAATAGTGAAACTTTAAGATTTGTTCTCCATTTTGGCACCTTAACACGTACTGTTAAGATGAACAGTAACTATTAACATCTTAACTGTTAAAACAACTCCACGCTGTTTGATACAAAGACACATTTTTCTTTCAGTTCTCCTCTGCTCTTCGGTGTAATACTTTGGAGTTCAGATATAATCAGTCCCTCTCTTTTCAGAGAGCCATCAGGTTTGGAGAAAAGTAATGGAGGGAACTTAAAAAAATAATTATTAATATTATTTTTTAGCTTTGAGACACTTAAGTTACCTTAGCAGTATGCTTGGTATTACTATCCCGTTGCAGGATGACTTGCGGTCTAGATAACAGGATAACGGATAGGTTTCTATGCACGTCAGAATTCATTGTGCAACTGCCCTCAGCAGTCATATCGTCAGAGGAGATAAGCTTGCTAGCACCTGTGGTAGCCATAACATTCTCACCACCATTTTTAAAAAACAAGCTTTGGATCTTGGGCAGTTCTTCTTTGCCTCCACACTTTGATCTCGCTCTTACTCTGATACAGCTTAATCTTGTTCTCGTCTGTCCATGACGCCTGATTTTTCAGAATTCTGCAGGCTCGTTTAAGTACTTTTTAGATTTAAACTGTAGTCTGGCCATCCTGTTTTTGTGGCCATTTAGTGGTTTGCATCTTGCTTCTGTATTCTGTTCATGAAGACTTCGAAGTCGCTGACAAACACAAACACATACCTGCCCCCAAAGATCTGTTTCTTTACCATAGTGAGGGTTCTTTTGTCCTCAGCAGTGGTCTTCGTTGGGTTAATCGTCCCTTTGTGATTACAGGGCTGATGTCTTTAACTGTTTTATTCTTCTCATAATACCTTTAGCTTTTTCCTGTTGTTGAACAATGGCAACTACAGACTCTGTAGAAGCAAGTATAAGTAACGTATCCCTACGCTAATGGACCAATGTCAGACTTTGATAAGATAAGTGGAAGAGAATGGCTGGCTGGATGGATGGATAAATGGATGGATGGAAAGAGTGGCACTGGCAAGCAGAGAAAAATGCATCCTTGTCCCAAACATTATGGAGGGTAATATATAAAAGAAGAGAAAGATAAAAGAGTTTCTTAAGTCTGGTAATACATAAAATAAAATTCTTTGGCTGGATTCGAGGCACCAGGATGCTGTTTGCCTTGGTTTACAGCTCATAAATGCTCTTGTGTACACTCAAACATCTGCAGTGTCCTGTCCTGTAAACACGGATAGATAAATAAATACTGAGTGCGGGAAGACAAGTACAACTACCCCATCAGCACTACCATTGTTACCTGGCAGAAAGCCAGGGGAGTTTTGTGGGAACCCAAAATGTAGAAAAAGCCGGCTGGCTTTCATTCTGGTCAGTTTACAAAATTATTCATAACAGTCAGAAAACATTTTTCATGCTGTTAAACGATAATACTTATGACTAAACCTCTAAAAATAAAACATGGAGCAAAGAAAATACTGAAATGGGTCTACAGTACCTGCTTAATGCTGATGGATGTCTGAAGTTCTTTGTTTCCACTCTGGCTGCTCTCACCGTGTGCTCCCGACTGTTCTCAGTCTTAAGCTGTTTCTCTCAGACTCTCTCCTCCTCCTCATCTACACCCCCTCATCATTCTCTCCCTTCTGGGCCTCCCCCCACCTCCTCTTTTTACTCTTTTTTCACTTCTTCCCATTTGTTTTTCTTCCAACTGACCAGCAGTGCTCTTTTATTTTGTTAATCCGTGTCTGGAATTTGTGTTTGAATGTGCGTTAGGAGGGAGAGGGGGAGAGTTGCCATGTGTCTGTGTGCTGCTCAGCATATTAATTTGCTAAGTAACAGCGGGAGACAGGCTTGTGCTTGTTGCTCGGAGTGTTTTTCACAATCTGTAGGTGTAGCTGTCTGTTTTTCCATGTTATATGCAGGTGTTATTATGGAAGGGGACAGCACATAAGGTCACCTAACTACGTGTTTATTTGTGCTTCTCAGAATCAGGAGGGGGGTGAGGAATGCTTGGGTGTATTTATTAAAGTTGTCCTGCATCTCTTGTAACCCCTCATTGTGAGACATTGGAGAGAAACGATGGAGGTTTGTTTTGTTTTTACCCTTTTATGGGATAAAGCTGGCAGAGTACACATTTTTTCTTTCTTGTTCCAAATGCCACTGTGGCACAGAATAGAGGAAAAGTACCAGCGCAGGAGCCTCCTTTTATCGTTAAAGGCTCACTCAACTCATATCACTGACATCTCTGGATCCTTCATTTCAGAAACAATTCCTAAGATCTTTGGCCGTTTTTAGTCAGTAGAGTCACGCTGAGTGTTTTATACAACATTACAGTTCTTTGTTTGGGAGGATGATGATTGGCTTCTTTGTGTGTAAAACAAAAAGTATACAATGAGTTTAAAAAGCCATAACTGCCTTTGAATTTTCTTAGAATGATTATTTCGTTTAAATATGAGAAGATTTGAAGGCAAATCTGTTAAGGTTTTAGTGAGTATGAGTTTACATATGAGGGCAAAACGATTGAAGAAAGCTATAAATCTGTCCAGATAAAAATACAATAGAAAAGAACCAAAACATGCAGTCATTCAAAGTGGAACAA